CACAGCCACAGTCGGGCTCCGGCGTCAGCGACGGGCACGCATCTCAAAAGCAGCGCAAGCGAAAACACTAAACGTTACTAACTGCTTCTGGGGAATAATTTTATCAAAGCCGTTCAAAACAAGGTTCTTGCACAAGGATCAGCTCGATACGTTCTCATAAACGCAATATTCCCTACAAATCATTAACAAAGCCATTAAGATTCGATTTCCATCTAAGCAATTACTGCAAGCATGTTTTTTTACATTTACTTTAAAAGACTCAATCCTATTTTCAATTCATTAAACCATTCCTTGCGTTTACTGAATTTTACATCAGCTTAGAAGCCTATTTGAATTAATAAGAATTACAGTAGAAGTAATTTAGAAATAAATTATTTGAAGTTCAAGCCACTGAAGCTTTTTGTGCCGGGATGCTGCCGCATTGAGCCCGCTGACTGATGGCTTTAGAAGTCCCCATCTGGGCGCGGACTGCACCGGGACCCCTCCCAAGAAGGCATTTCTTTTCCCTGAGCACCCGGAGTTAAGGACAGGAGGGGGCACGTAAGGCCACGCCGCATCCCTGCTCGGAAGCAGCCGGCCTGTCCGGCCTCATGGATTTTGGGCATTTATTCCAAACCACAGGGCGTCTAATCCGGCTGTTGTCTGCAAAGCTCCTCGTGCTCTGCCAACCCAAATGCACTCACCGGACTGCAAGCACCGGACCGTGCAAGGTAACGCTTTCGGGCATCCGTATTCGCGTCCGCTCCCGCCTACTTACCCAGACAAGGAAGTTATTTCCATGAACAGCATCAATTACAAACCCTAAATTAAATAAAAACGCAACGTGCAGTGAGGACTTGCTGGACCCACCTTCACCTCAACTTTTCAGGATGTTTCTTGGCAGTATATATATTTACTTGCAGTATATACACAACTCCTCTCCCCAGGGTCCGAGGTGTGTAAGGGACACACTCCGGGACCTGATTTGGGGTCCTGATCATCTGGATCTCGAGTTTAGGGCGTTGCTGCGGAGCGAGGGGAAAGGAACGTGAAAGAAGCCCCGGGGGAACTCGGGGTGAGCCGCCGCATAGACCCAACCCACGCATGCAACGTCAACGAGCGACAGCGGTCGCCAAAATGGGCGTCTGCAATGCGAGGGGAAGGCAAGAAACGCTACGCTGTTCCCCAAAGCAGCTCCGATCACCAAATCTCTCTGCACAACGTGAAAAAGGACACCGTGTTCCACACTTAGGGCAAGGGGGAGCGGGATGGAGGGATGCGACGCTTGAGGAACGGCCGTGGCTGGAGCCCGTACAATGGATTTTTGTACCTGTCCTTCTGCCTTAGACCGGGCAGTCTTTGCTTTTAAGGCTGCAAAGGCAGACACAGATGAGTAAATTGTGTTTCAAACAAGCTGCTCTCGGCTGGACACAGCCCGGGGACCTCGGCTCATGTGCAGCGGCCGCATTCGAAATCAATTCTCCCTCTGCTTGTAGCACACTGGGATGGAGCGAAGCGTCAGGGGGAACAGAGGCAAAGATGAAGAACAGGGGCTCGTGAGCACGATCCTTCAATTTCTAACGAAGCCCGAGCCACAGGTACTCCATCACGAGCAGCAGCACTGCTGATCCAGTCCGCGGGACACCGACACCAACGCTTTCCAAGAAAGAGTAATTTTCAGGATACCTGACCTAGGTGAGCCCACAAACTTAAACACAATTCCTGTAATAAATTGAGTCAAAGGAAACAAGCCACGCAGACACACAACCTATTTGGTCATGCGCTCGAGGAAAAAGCCACATGATGATCAATCCACGGAATTAATGTAATTTGAATGTCAAAACTCATCTATCAGTTTCAGCTATCTAGAAGGAGTGCGGCGGAAGCGGAGGGGAACAGCGAGCAGGCTGTATAACCCCCCGCGCCGACGCTCTGCCTCCTCGCTGTCCCGCTCCCCACGGAGCGGCCTCTCCGCTCTCTCCATCCCTCGTGGAGATGGCGGCTCCACACCAGAAACACCACGAACCGTCTTCTTGGGAAGACCGCGGGAACCAAAGAGACTTTTTGTCACGATCGGATACAGGAACAGAGCGGGAACGAGAAGGAAACCGAGTCGCCGCCTAATGTGCCGGCAGATTTGCCTCAAGGAGGGAGAAGAGGCTTGGCAACGCCGTGCTGGAAGAAGTTGCTGGAGCTCAGCGCAGCTGGTCTCGCAGTCTGGAGCGAGTGTTTCGGAACGCTGCAGTCGTCACACTCGAACTTTTGAGACGAACGGACGAGCCGCGCTAATTGTGCTGGCGAGAAAAGGCAACTGCTTTTTACAGAGCTGATTTCACGACACCGTTTCGCAGGCAGAAGAACGGTAACGCTTTGGGATCGGGCTGCCTGCAGAACACACGCGCAGCAGCGTTCCTTTCATCCTCACCCTCACAGGAAAAGTTTGTTTTCCATCAATATTTACAACTAATGTTTCCAAACAGCAACTTTCTCTTCTAATACGATCTAATTACTGGTTTTGTGACCCTGAGTCAAGCGTGTCCGAGATTTTCTCGCGTCCAAGTAGCTCTTAGTCCCTCTTTGACGTCTTCTCCATGGCCAGCAACCAAATAAGTCCGGCCAAAAAGCAACTCCACTTGCCACGGCGAAGAGCTCTCCAAAAAGAAGTAACAGTAGCAAACAAGAGGAAATCTGGAAAAACCTCCCTTTCCAGTTTGCTCTGCCGGGCTGGTCTGTCACCCACCACGCACTGACATCGGGTTGTGCCCTGTGAGAACCCCCATTCTCCGAGCGCCGGGAGCAACCGCAGCCTCAGGACCAAACCGAGCAGACCTCGCGGAGACGGCACGGAGGGAAGGGGACGTCGCAGCTCCGCGTCTCCCTCTGAAGGCCAGACTCCAGCAAATTGGAACGGCAACGCTCACCTTGGACTAACATCACCACTTCCAAACACAACGGATGTTATTCGCCCT